TGAAGTCCTATCTTCCTGCACACTATCTGGCTATTAACACTTCCTCCTATAACCTACTACAAAATCATGTATCTCTCTCAGAATCTTAACCATATGATTTATAAAAGCTATGGTGCATCTCATATATTTTTATAAGGATTAATTATGCGCTTTCCTTCAGCAAATTATATGCACACTACAGTTCAAATTTATGCCCCTTCTCCTTAACTCTTGATTAGAATTTGATTAAATCTTCTTAGAATCTTCACCATACAATGCTTTTTTGCACCTTCTTTGTTTTTGATCCTAGTTTTTATTTTAGTTTCGCTAACCACGTTAACCAAGTTATTGCCTTGCAAGGTTCTGAGGGTATTATTGTTTAAGCTTTGCTCAGAGTACCTCTAGTTTAATTTGTTTTTCGTTAAGTTTTCAAAACCTACCAGCAAACCAATAAGAATAACATACGAAAATGCAACCCCGAATGTGACCTACCGAATTAGAATTATTACCGGGTTTGTACTAATATGAGCAAAACGACGGGTGCAACATGTTGAGCAGGATCTACTTACCCTTTCGGAGCACCTGAGATCATACCCAGTTTTTTGTGGGGTTTGTGTTGCTCAGTCTTTGGTTTTCTATGTTGTGTTTTTTTTGTACTGTTGTTTGTCTGTTGGTTTTTTTCTTCTTTATTTTTAGCCATGGCGTTGTCAGTTTATTTTTGACTTATGAGTTTGAATGCCCCTTTGGTAACTTTAGCCTCTCCTGTAATAATAAACTAAACAAACATACAGTTTGATTTATACCCGGAAGTATTTTATTTATCTTAAACCTCGGAACAACAACAACAACAACAACAACGACGACAACGACGACGACGACAAAATGAAAATCTCATTTATTGGTCCGATTTCTAATTTGTAACCTAACATATATTTGAACAAAAGAGATACAGTGTTTTAACTGTGACTGATAACCGGGACAACGCAACCATGTTAAGGGGACAACCATTTGGTATTCTGGGAGTGGAGAGGTAGGAGGATTTTTTTCTGACGGATATTCATTTCCATTTTTAAGGGGGCAGCCCGAAGTGAAATTTTTCTCTCACCCATCTTCTCCTTTCTCCACCCTCTTTTGTATTTTCCCACCAGAAAAATCTATTTCCCTATCAAAATAGTTAGAAATAAAGTTCTTTTTTTATTTTTAATAAAACAAAATACTGTGAGGTCAAAGGGTGAATGGGAGAGTTTTTTCACTCTCGTTTTCCTGTGACATTTCTTGAAGGTTACAAGGAAGTAATTATTTACATAGGCGACAATGGTAGTCTTTTTTGGTCCTGCGTTTTCCCTATCAAAGATCCATTGAAAAAAATGCCGAAATCTGAATTATCAACGCCTTTGGGTGTAATTGAAACTACAAAACACATATGGTGCCGCAGTTTTTTTTGATAGAAAATGGCATTTTTTAAGGTTACTCAACGGTTCCGGAATTTTCGAAATAGTATAAATGAAGAACACCCCTTGCTAAATTTGGCACAGCAAATGTTCCTCGTCACAGAGAGTTTTCTCTAAATTTCTCGCTATTTCTACACCAATGACCAACACTCATTTCTCACTATTTCTATTTTGATTTCTAATTACTAGGGCAGCAGAAAATAAATTTACTTCTACCTATTATCTTGGATGTGAAATCTAGGTGGCGCCAATCATGGCATCTTTATTTACTTCCTTTTAACCTATAACACCTAACGCCTCATTTATCTTGTTACTTGTAGCAAACTCAAGTGTGGTATACAATATGAAGGATAAACGAGACGGGATTTTTTTAAACAAACATTATACCGCTTCCAAAAACCTAAAAAAAATATAAAGTTGAATTACAATGTACCAACATTTAAGAAAATGCATACACAGTACTAAATTCATAACATTTTAACTACTTGGAATCTCCGAGAAACAACAAAGAAAGTCATATAAACAATTTGAAGATTCCCGTAAAATTTGCAAACATTTTAAAATGAATAAGAAAATGATAAAAGGGTTACTTAAATTATGCCCATTTCTAGAATGTACTCGCAATTATTTAAATCGGTGTGAGTCGTACCGGCCGACAAAGCAGCCAACAATGTGATGGATGTATGACGTAAATTCTGCATAGAAATGCTTAAAAGTGAAATTAAAAAATCTTCTACATTCAGGTCTGTGTACTACACAGAGAGTCCAACTGTAAACAATCATATCATTACAACAACTTAGCCAAAGGCCTTCTCTGAACATTTTAAGGTCTCTACTATGTATTGGCTATCTAAACTACAAAACAACCTGTCAAATATCGTTTCTTCTAAGCCTCTAGTAAGTGATCTATAACTCACATTCATTGCTTTTAACTAGCTCCCTTGCTTATCATTATCCTTTGTAGGTATGCATATAAAATTAATGATATTAATTAATTCTTTAGTGTAAAAACTTCTTTGGATGTGTTGAATAAATTACCCGCTTTTGATGGTTCTTTCAATTCAGTTGATAGTTTTGACTTTTCGACCCCGTACACTACACTTCCACACAATATTATTAAACCAAAATTTTTCTATTTAAATGAATGGTCCTTTGACAAATTTGATCGTAAATTTATTTGCCGAAACTCACATAAAGCTTTCCTCTGTAATGAAAAAGGTAGAAATGCTAGATATACTTAATTTTAGTGTTATGAGATGATTAAAGTTGTAAATGTTATCCCTGATAACAACTATGCACGTTTCGGCAATATAGTTTGTCGACAAATTGTAGGTATTCATAGGGGCACACATTGCGTCTGTTTAATAGCAGACTTGTTCCTGTATTGTTATGAATCAAAGTTTATCGCCAAACTTAGTACTTCGTCTTGGGTGATAATTTTTTCCCTCGTGTGTTAATCTACCCTAACACCTTCATCCAAGGGCAGTATGTTTATATCATGCAATATCAAAATAAATGACCAAACAAAACCCTTGACGAAACAAGGATATTGCTTAATTCTACATAATTTGCTCTGTGGTGGAAAGCTGTCTCATTGACAATCACACCACATCTTCTTATTTTCATATTGATGCCAACAAATGCTTTCAAACACTAAACGCCGTCCTACTAAAACACAAGAAGTGAACGAAAAACTTGACTTAAGAAACCAACCATTTTGAAAGAATTGCACGAGTGATCACTTACATGTTTTCGTTATGTAATTTCTGACGTAAACCGTTATCAAACATCGACGTAACCGTGATCAAACATGTAACCGTTATCAAACATGTATGTAACCATTATCAAACACGGATATTACCGTTGTTGAACATGGACGTAACCGTTTGTCAAACATCGACGTAACCGTTATCGAACATGACGTAATCGTTATCAAACATTGACGTAAAAGATTTCAAACATTAATATAACAGTTATCAAACATCGACGTGACCGTTATCAAACATGCCGTAGTTGTTATCAAACTTGACGTAACCGTTATCAAACTTGGACGTAACAGTTATCAAACATAACGTTACTGTTATCCAACATGACGTAGCTGACGTGACGATTATCAAACATGATATAACTGTTATAAACATGACGTTACCGTTATAAAACTTCAACGTAACTGTTATCAAACAGGGGCGTAACCGTTACTAAACATCAACGTACCATTTATCAAACATCGACGTAACCTTTATCAAACATCGACTTAACCGTTATCAATTTTAGACGTAACCGTTATCAATCTTGGACGTAACAGTTATCAATCCTAGACGTAACCGTTATCAAACATGACGTAACCGTTATCAAATATAGACATAACCGTTATCAACATGTTACCATTATCAAACATGTTACCGTTATCAAACATGGATGTAAGCTTTATCGAACATGGACGTAACCGTTATCAAACATCGACGTAACCGTTATCAAACACAGACATAACCGTTATCAAACATAGACGCAACCGTTATCAAACATGGACGTAACAGTTATCACACATGACATTACTGTTATCAAACATGACGTAACCGTTATCAAACATAGACGTAACCGTTTTCAAACATGGACGTCACAGTTATCAAACATGACGTCACTGTTATCAATCTTGGACGTAACCGTTATCAATCTTAGACGTTATCAAACATGACGTCACTGTTATCAATCTTGGACGTAACAGTTATCACACATGGCATTACTGTTATCAAACATGACGTAACAGTTATCAAACATCGACGTGACAGTTATCAAACATGACGTAAACGTTATCAAACATAGACGTAACCGTTTTCAAACATGGACGTCACAGTTATCAGTAAACTGTACATTTATAAGAAAATTATATCAGAACTACATATAAGATACCAGGCTTATAGTGTAAAATTATATTAGAACTACATATAAGATACCAGGCTTATAGTGTTGTAAGTCAGATGCGCGTTCCGTCTACAAAAGACACATAAGTGACGCTAGAATAAAAATAGTTGAATGGTCAAATAAAGTACGAAGTATAACCACTTTCAGATAACGATTAAATATCCCAGCAATCGTCATTGTGGCTTTCGTACTAGTAATTAACCCATTAACATAAAAAAGCTAGTGTGGTCCTGGTTCCCGCCCAGTAATTCTCAATTCCGAAGGTACAGGTTTATGTGGCAGGGGTTAATTTGTTCACGAAAGCCGGTAAGAGTGTGTAGCTTTTATAAAAATCATACATTTATTTTACCGGAGATGTCTATTTACCATGTCAGGCAAGACAACACGTTATCAATATTATAGAGGTTTTGTGGCGGTCTAAAGTTTGAAAACAAATGATTGAGAGTTTTAAATTATAATATGCAGTGTCAAGTTCTTTAAGATAAGACAAATTATGATATTTATTAGTGTAAAATCGAAACAATCGAATTGTTACTCAATACATGAAATAACACATAAACAATAAACAATACAAATATGTAACAATAATATTGCATGAATTTGAAAAGTCAACTTTTTTCAAACGAAATTGCATGAATATTTTTACAGATTCATCATATAAAAATGGCGAAATTAGAAAACAAGATTTCTCTGAACGAAGAAATGAAGGCTAGTATCTTGGCTCTAGTTCAAAAGAGAGGACCTACGAAAACATGTTGTCCAAGTGAGGTAATATATTATAGGTGAAACTGTAATTACAAGAGTAGGATAGCAAATATTAAAAGGACACGTATTTTTTTTAATCACCTAGTCTTTAAAAGGAAAAGGGAAAGATGAATTATCCAAAATACAAAACAATCACATATTTGTGTCATTCTTTAACAAATGCGCCTCCAATATGTCAATGATTAATTGTCTTGTTTTCACAGTAATGATTAAAAGCAACTGCCTCAATAACAAGGAATTATTATGTAAATTTATATATTTGTGATTTCTTGGCGTATGCAGGATATAAGGAAGGGATTTAAGGCATTTATGGTGTGTTTATAATAGTGTCTGATGTTGTGCAGACACATGAACATAACGGTGTATAATAAAACAACTTCTTGAAAAGAAAAATAAATATGCAATTTTTTTATGTCATGTGATAAAAATACTACCAGACACGATGCTTGCCGAATTTGTATTTAATTACTAAAAGGGAAAACATCAAACGTTTTTTTAAGGATGTAGTCATGTCAGGTTAGGAATGTTTGTCAGATGTTCGGACTCTCTGGGGTTTTTCCTACGGTACAGGGTAAAATTTTTTGCCCCATATCACCCACTTTTCTTTTCATATAAGACTTCAATAGCCCATAAAAAGGTAATTACCAAAATTTAAGCAGATTCTAGATTTCTTTTCTTAGGATTTGAGACCTAAATTATGTAAATGCTAAATATAAGGTAAAAGTCAGAGTCAGCCTTTTCCCACCATTTTTTAAAAATCAAATATCTCAAACAGGAGTTCCATAACCTATCAATATTTTTGTTCCTTAACTAATGCTCTTCTGACTTATAGTATCAATTTTAAATTCTAGATTTCTTTAATTTCACCTTACTACATCCTTAAGTGAATAGCATCTACCTAAGTGAAAAATAGTAATGAACGATTTAAAATAAAAGAGGGAAAAGGATACATGTATCAAAAATGTACAAACACAAGGACCAAAAGAAAAACAAATGTTCACTATTTGCTACACATAACACTAAATTTTGAGCAAAAACAAACCAAAATAAAAAATAAAAATAGAACGAACCTAGGTGTACCGGAAGGGTCAGTAGTTCTTGCTCCACTGGTGACACCCGAAGAGTTGCTCCTCGAAAGAAATTTATGAGTTATTGGAGGCGATTACGTATCAAACCAAACAATAGTGGATGGATTTATGTCTCTAATCTAACCCTACATCTACAAATTTATACATCATTGGTACAAGTTCTGACCCTAAATCATCTCATTTGTTGTAACGTTCAGTTCTCAACCGACCCATTGTCAATTTCTAGATGTAAGTGCAAATATAAAGTAAACTTAACTGTATATGTAAGTGTGGTATCCTTTATTTCTTGTTCTACGGAAAATATTCGATCAACATAGTAAACGAACTGAGAACTAATCAATGAGAGGAGACCATCTATAATATCTATTAGTATTAGCGGATTGTGAAGTTTAATGATGTACCTTCTTCTTTTCATTCTTCTTGAGAATCAAGTATGGAGTTTTCCTTATACGAATGAAGGAACAAGTTAGCACGAATAGGAACTAAGTTGATTCCAAAATGACTTCCGATTGCCTGTTAAAAAACAATCCACCAAAAGTAACAAATATGATGTCTAAAACAATAATGTCAGTTTCAATGAACTGCTTTTAAATCAGATTTGGACTTATTCTTTCAATGCGTCGGCAAGATTAATTAAAAAGAAGAGATTATTTATACTTGTTTGAAGGACAAAAGAGTCAGATGTTTTTATACTATTGCACAAGTAGAGAAAATGAGAGGGTAATTTACTAAACTTTTATCCTATTGACAATTTCTTAATACCAACATGAAACATTGATAAGTTAACTATGTTCAAATAAAATACGTTAAAAAATTCGACCGTATTTTGGGGTTTAAAAAAATGATAGCAAAATGTTTAAGTCGTCTATTTTATTAAAGTACTATGATAATCATAGAAATCTTTTGTACAGGTTGCTAGAAAACTGTCACCAAATAATTGGAGAGGTTTAATGGAATTTGTTCGAGATGCTGCTAGAGAACTTCAACAGAATGAATTAATTGATATTTGCCAAAAGGGTATCCCAGTTCCTTCAAATACTTGGACCGGACCAATACGACTGAGGCTTAGAACAAAAGCTGGAATCATTTTACCAAATTTAAAGCCAGGCATAAGTGAGCTTAGTGGACGTGGTCGAGATGGAGATGGTCAGCCTTCACAAAAGGACATTCAATCCAGTCAAGCGACATGTTCTGTAGAATATAGGGTTGATAAAGAATGTCAGACCAGAAATTCTCCACATGCAATAAATAGAAAACGAAAATATAACATACGGTCAAAAATATCTGACAAATAAAAAATAATATATTTGTTTGATAGTTAAAAGATATAATTTATAGAATTCTTAAAAGTATAGTTAGAGTCTAGTGACATTTGTTTTCATTATATAATTTTGTAGTATGAAATCCTCCTTGCACAAAGTTGGCAAACAGCATACAAAACGAACATTTTTCACTTTACTCAAAAGTTGAAAGAAGCATGTAGTCATACCCATTTTCAGCCCAAATTGTACGAGACGAAAATTAACATTCATGATATTATGCACACACAATTTATATTAATCAGTATCGTTATTTTGGTCTTTTCATATGACCCGCATCCCTTTAAGCTCATCTGGCTCAAAAGAACAAACGTGTATTTCTCGTCACTTTCAGTATTTATCTGCTATTATTTTCGTCTTCTTCAAAAGCCCCTACCAAATAATCATCCCGACAATTCAAACAAACCTTGCCAAATTCAAGTTTAAGTTGCAGTTAAAAGTTGGTTCGATATTGGTGCAACATGACAGCCTAAACCTTTACAATAAACAAACATATACTAGGTTAAACATGAACTATGATTGTTTTGTGAATTGCCAGATAGTATTGAGCTGATATAATTAATTTATATAATATTTGAAATAAGAATTTCTTTTCTGTTGATCTACATGTACCTCCACGTAATTACGGCTCTTGAATTTACAAAGTTACGAAAATGGCAGCATTGTGTTCCGTCCAGGACCTTTTCTATACTTTGATACATCTGAGAGCATATTATTGTATATGGCACAAATCATTATGTATGAGCTTTATTGCCATAGTAAATAAGAAGGTAAAATTTAGGTCTTATTTGACAAAAATTATAAAATTCGGTCATGATCGCCATTTTTGAAAACTTAGAATACGAGCTTTCAGAAGTGTATGAATTATCTCAGGTGCAATGACACAATTTGACAATGACGCCATTTAAAAATGATATCCCTAAGAAAGATTTCAAAATTTTAGGCAAAATTAAACATATACCAGGAACATTTTGAATAAATTAATATAGAGCACATGCGCCTCCCAAAATGACTTTCCACCGGCGAACTGATAGAATCAATACATGTTTTCTGTATGAATAACTTTTTGGTTAAGGGTTGTGCTTATATCAGTTTACAATATGAATAGCTTTGTTAGTGACAATTGTGACATTATAACAGTTAAAGTGCAATTTTTATGAAGTTCCTATATGCAACGATTTTATTTTACAAATTGGAAACATCGGAATTCGACACATTTGATTTTAGGGATACATTGACCTTCTTTGAAAATTTCATCCATTACCAGTTCTCCTTGCAGGAATAGCAAGCTGCTAATACTGAATAATTATTTTATGAGTAGTTACTGTACCATGTCGCATATGATTTGTTTTCGGTTTATCTTTTTGTGATCGTATTGCGGACATGGACCCTGTTTCTTGAAAATAACATCTCAGATATCATACTGTTAATATTGCAAGAAATGAATGGTTTACAGCATTGTCCTTGTCCGTCTGTCTGTTCGTCTATCAACTTTTGTTACATATTACTAAACTTCTTGACTAAGAAATACAATGATATGTGATCTGAAACTAAATGATGTTATATGTACTGTGTTATAAGCGATTATGTGTCATATTCTAATGAGAGACGCACACATATGTCCATAGAACGGTCTGCTGACAAAGAGCAAGTGTGTTTCTATTGCGGGCGGTCAAAGGGTTAATACTTTCAAACTGATGACTTTTAATTTTATAATTACAACATTAAACACAATGTAGGGTAATCGTATCCAATGGGAGATGCATACTTCAAATTCATGTACTGCAGAAATGCTTATATACATAAATGGAAACTTTGGATACTTGCAGTCTTCTCTTTTGTCGATTAAGTATGTTCTAAATCACCTCCAAACTGATTGAGGCTGTACAACATATAACAAAACACTGAAAATGAAAAATTGACCAATAGGAACCCACCAAACAATGCGAGTTTAACATAAGTGGGTGAATGCCAGGCTCTCAGAGTCCGTCCGGCTGTGCTGGATGAATAAATACACAGCCGCGTCTAAACTGACACGTGACTCCAGCATTCATAAAACCGTGGAGGATGTATATATATATATATATATATATATATATGAGTCTAAAAGATTGTGTAACAATACCGATAAATAGATGGAAAACAAAACACTAAAAAGTGTTGAATATCATCGCACAAAGATGGAAAAACTGAACAGATGATATAAATTATACAATAATTGCAAATATTTCGGCTCAACAAATGACCTTCCTCAGTGTTAAAAGTTTTAACAATACTGATATATAATGTATAAGGTGTAAACATAGATCAGTAATAATACAGGTAAGTTTTGGTCGATTGATTTTAATCCAAAATCCTGAATATCATAATATAAACATTAGACTATAAATTTAATTATTTCTTTCTATTGATTCCATTTGGATGGAGGACACCCAGTATTTTTATCCAAAACTTCTCCAGATTCTCTGTCTATTTTGCCATGTACAATCCTGTTCGATCACAAGGATCTTCATGTGGTCAAAATCTTTCAGATTGTGATCTGGTAACCTGAAGTGTTGGCTGACAGGAATATACAGTTTTTTTGTGAGGTCACTCCTGTGGCCATGAAGGCGTTTGTGAAATGGCTGCATAGATTCACCAACATATTGGAGACCACATATAGGACACTCAAGAACGTAAATCACGTTTGAGCTTTTGCAGTTGACATTGCAGAAGATCTTGTATGTCTTTTCTGTGGTCTTACTGTGAAATGTTGATGAATGCTGCAATTGGTTGCAACATTTGCAGCGCTTTCCTGGTATCGATTCATTGATGACGTTGACATGAAATGGGACAAGGGGGACCAAGAATTACAAACTTTTATAACAAATGCTAACAATCAACACCCTACCATCAAATTCACCCATGAAACATCTAATTCCACCATAAACTTCCTTGATACATCTAGCACCCTCTCTGTAGGTATAATAAACACAGATATATACTCTAAACCTACAGATACTCATCAATACTTGTCGCCTGAAAGTTGCCATCCTCCACACTGCACGAAGAGCATTCCATACAGCCAAGCTCTCAGAATAAGGCGAATCTGCTCCTCTGAAGATACTGCAAAACAACGTCTGGGGCAGCTCAAGGGACATTTGAAAAGAAGGGGATATAAACACAAAAACATCAAAAATAGTTTTCGAAAAGAGGAATCCATCCCCAGAAGCAGTCTGCTAACTTACAAAGAAAAACAGAAAAGTAAAAGAATCCCTTGTGTGCTCACCTACCATCCATGCCTGAGAAATAGTTTCAAGACCATTCGTGATCATTGGACAGCAATCGAGAAACATTCTAAGTTATCCAAAATCTTTCCTGAGCCTCCCATGATTGCCTTCAAACAACCTAACAGCCTGAGAAATATACTTGTCCGTGCTGACCTTTCCAAACCTAACCATACTGTAGGTAATTGCCAGCCTTGTGGGGATAAGCGCTGCAAATGTTGCAACCAATTGCAGCATTCATCAACATTTCACAGTAAGACCACAGAAAAGACATACAAGATCTTCTGCAATGTCAACTGCAAAAGCTCAAACGTGATTTACGTTCTTGAGTGTCCTATATGTGGTCTCCAATATGTTGGTGAATCTATGCAGCCATTTCACAAACGCCTTAATGGCCACAGGAGTGACCTCACAAAAAAACCGTATATTCCTGTCAGCCAACACTTCAGGTTACCAGATCACAATCTGAAAGATTTTGATCACATGAAGATCCTTGTGATCGAACAGGATTGTACATGGCAAAATAGGAAAAAAGAGAATCGGGAGAAGTTTTGGATAAAAACACTGGGTGTCCTCCATCCAAATGGAATCAATAGAAAGAAATAATTAAATTTATAGTCTAATGTTTATATTATGATATTCAGGATTTTGGATTAAAATCAATCGACCAAAACTTACCTGTATTATTACTGATCTATGTTTACACCTTATACATTATATATCAGTATTGTTGAAACTTTTAACACTGAGGAAGGTCATTTGTTGAGCCGAAATATTTGCAATTATTGTATAATTTATATCATCTGTTCAGTTTTTCCATCTTTGTGCGATGATATTCAACACTTTTTAGTGTTTTGTTTTCCATCTATTTATCGGTATTGTTACACAATCTTTTAGACTCATATAATTTTCCTTGTTTGTGTAGTATTGTCAATTTTGATGATCCAATAACTATTAAGTTTACTGGTTGGTAGATTCTTATAGACTCTATATATATATATATATGTTCGACCTGTTAGTCAAATGCGTTTTGTTAAAATATACTTTTTCACTTTTTTGGTCTTTTGGAAAATGTTGTTTGTGCTGTATTTAGACCCCTTTAACAAGAAATTTGTTTTGCATGCACACGTATAAAAATTGCGGTTTTTATCCAACGCAATCATAGGTTTGAACGTTGTTTTCAATTTAGACTTGTTTATATTTTTTCGTTTGGGCTTGTATTATATTTGCCTTCGGGTTTATATGATCCGTTCATCCTATTTTGACTCCTCAAAATTCAAGAGTCTATCCCAAATTGAGGTAAATTATGTGGCCTTCCAATAACCGTTTCGATCCCTAACATCACTGAAGAGACATTAATTGTTGAAATCCGGATATGGTGTACAAAAAATATTTGCACCTTTGTTTGCGGTATACCATCTTCGCCGCAAGTTTATTGTTTTCTGTTTGGTATTAAATTTAAAGTTAAGATCCATTTATTACACCTTGTGATCCGTTTATTTGGCAATCGCCAATGGCAGTCAGCAGGATTTAAGAACATTTGTTGTTCGACCTGTTAGTCAAATGCGTTTTGTTAAAATATACTTTTTCACTTTTTTGGTCTTTTGGAAAATGTTGTTTGTGCTGTATTTAGACCCCTCTAACAAGAAATTTGTTTTGCATGCACACGTATAAAAATTGCGGTTTTTATCCAACGCAATCATAGGTTTGAATGTTGTTTTCAAT